TATATATATATATATATATATATATATATATATATATATAAGACATTTTTCATTTTTATACATTCTTTTTATAGATAAAAACTATTTGTATCTACAAAAAGAATCTATAAATATAAAATTGTCTTAAAATAATTATCGGGCAATATGATATACATCAAGGAAAAACTTAACACGTCAAGAAAATACGGTACTAAATGATGATTTATTTGGAATGTTATAAATGGATTAAAGTTTCAAATAATTAAATTTATCTAGACAAAAATCTTTTATTAAAGAAAGAAATAATAATAAAAGGAAAACGTAAAAGGAATTCGTGGCGTCTGAGGTGGAAAATCTATTTTCAGTGTGCTGGAAGCCATTGACCATTGCATAATGGTAGGGAGAAATATATTAATATATAGGCATACAGTCAACAACGAAATTCTTCGTAAACTCACCAATTTTGAATATTTTTATACATTTCTCAGAATCTGATGCCCATATGATGCCCTGAGGGTTACATGTTAAGTAGCACAAGAAAGGAATTTTCAGAAAAATATTTGACTGGCAAAATTATTCGAACAGTATGAAAAATATAAATAATTGAACAATTTTCACAATATTAATAGACAATAGCCTGGCCGCTAATCTTTATAAGTTGTTGAGTCGTTTCCTAAAGTTTTTGATGAGATTTGAACACGTATTCTCTGGGATTTTCTTCCATTCTTCAATGGTTACACGTTCTAATTCCTGAAGGTTTTATTGACCGACGATTTCTTCGAGCTTGCAATTCTTGACATAGATTTTCAATAGGACTCAATTAACACTCATTAAGGTCATAGCCGAACTATAAAATATCACTCATAAAACTAATTTAGTCTATGACAGAAATTTTTCTGAATCACGCAATCACTGATTTAGACGTATGTTTGAGATCATTATTTTGCTGGAAAGTATATTGTTGCCCTAGATAAAGATTTTGCGCTGATTGTTGTAGATTTTCCTCCAGGATTTTGTCATAGTCTGCAAATTTCATTATTCCTCTTATTGCAATTAATTGTCCAATCTGCCGTTAGCTAAAACAACCCCCAAAACTTCATCCAGACGCATCTATGTTTTAATGTGTTATTTTGGAGGAAGGCCTCAGCAATATTCTGTATATCATTAGGTCCAAAAAGTTTAATTTTTGTTTAATAACACCATAGTAATTATTCCCAGAAGCAATTTTCTTTGTCCAAGAACATTTTGGCAAAATAAATCCGAGCAAAAGTGTAACGTGGTTTGTTAAGAGAGGTTCGTTATGGCCGCTTTCCATGTAAACATTTTCTATTTAAAAAAACATGCATTGTGCGAGTACTTGCGCTGATTAACAATCATATCTAAACTTTTGTCGACGGCTTTCAAAACAACTCTTGGGATTATATTAACGCAGTTTTCGTGCAGTTCTCGGTAATAATTGTGGTTTTCTTCCATGCCCAGGCAAATTCTTCGACGTGCCAAACTGCTTAGACTTCTTTATAACGGAGTGTACCGTAGATCTAGGGAGAGCTAACCGGTTTGTGTTGTAACTATTTTCCGACTTGTGGAAGTTAATAATTCGCTATTTCACGTCTTTTCTCTTCGACACCGTTTGCAAACGTAGGATTAACAATGGTGACACTATATGCACCACGTGATGTTCTCTGCTCGAATTATCTCAAAGATTCTACTGAATAAATAGTTTGAAAGGCTTCAGCGAAATATAATTATGTAAATTACTTATAATTACACAAACCAATCGTTTTATAACGATATATTCTACTATATGAATAATTTTGTCTTTTGCTATCTTACATAATTCGCCTGTTAAATTTGTTGTATTTAAGCTATTGTGCTGAAAATTGAGTTTTATATTCATTTTTTTTTTTTTTGTCCTTATGACATATAAAAAATATATTGGCATCATACGGGCATTAGATTCTGAGAAATGGATAAAAATAATCAAGATTGATAATAATTTCATCTTTGACTCTAACTCTAACCCTAACCCTCTCTCTCTCTCTCTCTCTCTCTATATATATATATATATATATATATATATATATATATATATATATATATTTTATATATATATATATATACACACACACACATATATATATATTATATATATATATATACACATATATATATATATATATATAAACGTATACACATATACACACATATATAACCACAAATATACATATATGTACACACGCATACATTTGCAAGTATAAACATATATACAAATAAAAAGAAAGTAGATAAATCATAGACAATAAATAGACTGACTGAAAATAAAAGAAATAAAACAATTGAATATACACATACGTACATATATATATTCGTTTATAGAATTATAAGTGGAGGAAGTGAAAAAATGATCATCTTAAATTCAATATCTGATTTATTTTCATATTTGTAGAAAACAAATATACACATTTAAACATACACACAACAGAGACACACCTATATATACTAAATCATATATACAGTGCTGTTTGATAAAAGTGACTCACCTGATTTTTTTGCTAAATGATCTCTTCTCCGATGAAACGAAAGTTGTGCTAAATTCAATAGATAAGCGATCTAAAATCCGAAGATGATGCTTTGAAAGCACTTTGAATTTAGCAGTAAATACTGTCAAGCATCCGTTCAGTATAATATTCTGGGGATGCTTTTCTTTTCATGGAACTGGTTTCTTAAAACCTATTGAAAAGACCCTCAGGAGGGAGCAATACAAGAGAATTTTACAGTCTTGTCTGTTCCCTTCTGCTGAAAGGGTGCAAATCGACCCCACTAAGCTGATTTTTATGCAGGATAATGTTCCCTGTCAAAAATCAAAATTGATGAAGGAATACTTTGATGAGAAGTAGGTGAGTGTTATGACATGGCCTCCACAATGTCCTAATCTCAACCCCATAGAAACCCTATGGCGCATTATAAAGTACAGGCTCACGAGAAAGCAATTGAGCAATAAAGAGGATTTGATTGTGAATTTCATATCCGAATGGAATTTAATGCTTGGAGATGAGATTGGCGAAAACCTAATAACGTCAATCCCAAAAATTTGTTGAAAAGTTTTTTTCAAAATAAAGGAGGACCCCTAGATTATTAAATATTTCGAAATATATTACCTATTATAAATAAATTATAACTCTATTATTCTTTATTTAAAGTTGTTCGGTTATGTTTCTATTGATTACTAGATGCAGGAAATAAGTGAGTCACTTTTTTGCATAGAGTTTTTCCCTTAATCTCATTTATATCCATAATTTTAATTATCAATGGAATACCTTAGGGTGAGTAAACTTTTTTACTAGGTAGTCGGGAAGGGGTCTTTATATTAGTAAGATTAAAATTAGTTTGACCCCAAAAACAATAGGCAAAAAAATTAAGTAAAAATATCAGGTTGGTCACTTTTATCGAACAGCACTGTACATCTATCTATCTATCTATCTATCTATCTATCTATATATATATATATATATATATATATATATATATATATATCTATATATCTATCTATCTCTCTCTCTCTCTCTCACTATATATATATATATATATATATATATATATATAAATGACACATACTCATATAAAGACAAGATCACATAAACATATGCATACATAAATAAATAACATAGATATATATTCCAATCAATACATTCATACAAACACAAAGTAAACACACACACACACATATTATATATATATATGTATGTATGTATGTATTCGAAATGACACATTCATACAGGCACAAAGTGAAAAGGCAAATGTAAGTATATATTTGAAGCTTATGATGTATACACATATATATTTGTAAGGAATATATATATATATATATATATATATATATATATATATATATACATTAACATGCATATATATTCTTCACATATATAAATATACACAGAAAGATATATTCATGCACAAACACAGATATACATATATACAAATATACATAAAATACATGAATATATATATAAAACTACATAAATATATACATATAAAATACATAAAATTTATATATATATAAATATGAACTCATTCCTTTGATTTAATAGCTAGTATTTGTTTTAATTTAATTATCCTTTTTTTTTCTTGGCATAATTTACACCTATTTCTGAAGCTGTTTTACGTTTGCGATCTATCTATAATCTTCCACTCAATCTGTAGGGTGTGATTTCTATTCTTTAATTTCCAGAAGTATTTAAAAAGAGTTGTCTGTTTTTTTTTTAGATTAAGGTCAGTTACAGGATGTTTGTGATTATCTGCTTCCAGATCCCAGAGAAAATTCATATATATATATATATATTTTATTTTCTTTAGGGAGAATGGTTATTTGGTATGTAAAGTTTTCGATTTTGTGTATACGTCCCACTGAGCAGTTATGTTATTTTATTTATTTATTTATTTTGATTATAAAATTGATTCTATCACTGGAAAACCCACTATTACAAACATAAAATGACAATTAGCGCTTAATCAATATTTCAATAAAACGGCACTCTCTAAATTTAAAAAAAAAATTAAGACAGACAACTACACAAATTTAGGACATTGTACTATATCACTAAAATCAAATCGTTTCGTAACAATGGAATGAAATTTAGCCGGTGCCTCTTGGAAAAAAGTATAATTCTTAAACACATTGACAATTTGCTGAACAAATTAAGTTAACTTACGACTACATGCAATCATGGGAAAAATATTTCAATCTAGCAATTATTAGAATTACCCTGACCCTTCTCTTGTTTTTATCTATTCCATTTTATTTATGTACCGCTATTCTCTATTATAAGTTCTCCCCTATATATTGTTAGATTTTATATTTTTTTAAATTTCTACACTTAATTTCATATTCATTTTATATTTATTTCAAAATTATATTTAATTCATATGTATATTTATTTTATTTCACCTTTTTTCTTTCTTCTTCTGACCATTTTATCTACCCCCATCTATTATATTATATAACAATTCTCTTTATTATACAGTATTTCTCACTCATTTATCTATCCCCCATCTATGATATTGTTTAACACTTCTCTCTATCATACATTATTCCTCACCCATTTTATCTATACACCATCTATTATATTATATAACACTTCTTTCTATTATTCATTATTCCTCACCCATTTTATCTATCCCCCATGCATTATATTATATAATACTTCTCTCTATTATACATTATTCTTCACCCATTTTATCTATCCCCCATCTATTATATTATATAAGACATCTCTCTATTATACATTATTCCTCACTTGTTTTATCTATCCCCCATCTATTATATTATATATCACTTCTCTCTTATACATTATTTCTCACCCAATTTATCTATCCCCCATTTATTATATTATATAACACTTCTTTCTATTATACATTATTCCTCATTTGTTTTATCTATCCCCCATCTATTATATTATATAATACTTCTTTCTATTATACATTATTCTTCACCCATTTTATCTATCCCCCATCTATCATATTATATAACACTTTTCTCTATTATACATTATTTCTCACCCATTTTATCTATACACCATCTATTATATTATATAACATCTTTCTATTATACATTATTTATATTTTAACCCCATCTATTATCTTTTCTCTATTATACATTACCTCATTTTATCTATCCCCCATCTATTATATTTTATAACCCATTATATTATTCTATTTTAACCCCCCATCTATTATATTATATAACACTTCTCTCTCTTATACATTATTTATCACCCATTTTATCTATCCCCCATCTATTATATTTCATAACACTTCTCTCTATTATAAATTATTCCTCACCCATTTTATCTATTCCCCATCTATTATATTATATAAAACTTCTCTCTATTATAAATTATTCCTCACCCATTTTATCTATCCCCCATCTATTATATTATATAACACTTCTCTCTATGATACATTATTCCTCACCCATTTTATCTATCTCCCATATATTATATTATATAACACTTCTCTATTATATATTGTCCCTCACCCATTTTATCTATCCCCTATCTATTATACTATATAACACTACTTTTTACTATAAATTATTCCTCACATGTTTATAACCATTCTGCTTTTAATTCTATGTTAATTTTTTATTTTCTTTTAACTCCATATTTACTTCATATTCTTATTAATTTTATTTCAATTTTATTCTATCATGCTTCTCCCCACCGTCTTCTTTTATTTTATTTCTTATATGCTTTATTTTTTAACCATTCTTTATAATTTTATATGTATCGCTAAATATTAGATTACAGTTACAATACGGTGATTTTCTTGACAACATGAAGTCGCTTCAGCGAGACCAGTACGGAATGCATTTATTTTTATTATTTTTTCTATTTGTATTTCATTTTAAATCTATTTTCCTTCTAATATTTCTACTTATTCTCATTCTAACATTAATTCTATCAGTCTCTCCTCTTCTTTCTCGTTTCTTTTTCTTTCTATATTTATTCATCGTTTTATTTCTTTCATCTTCCTCCGTTTTCTCTTTTCCTTCTTTTTCTCCCTGAACCTTATATACTTAAAGCTGCCTCCCTTAGACTCATTGATAATTTTAATTTGACGGATTATATAATTTTCACGGATTGTTTACTTTTATTTTTATTTTTTTACTGTATTTTACGCAATTTTATAACCCTCACACCATTTTTGAATTTGTACCCCAATATTGAAATATAATTATAATAATTTTAAACGTTCCCATGAGACGCAGAATTTTTTTAAAACAACCGTATTTTGTGATTATGTGTATG